TTCACCTCCTTTCCTGCTCTCTAGCAATGTTCTGTTGTCTGCTTTCAGTTCCACTTTCTGCCCCCACCCCCTTTGCCCCCTCCTATGGGCTCCTGACTCTTTCTGCAGCTTTTCTACTGCTACTTCTTGGCTCCTCCTTACTGCTGTCTTTCTGCCACACCCCTGATCTTCTGGTACCGGTAGGAAAGATCTACACCTAGCCTTTTCGGACAAGGGCGAAAAATCTCGGAGGGCCCGTGTGCAAGTTGTGCACGTTAAAGATCCCTTGGTGGTCTAAAAGCGATAAAAGTAGGCTTCGGCCGCGACCCAGGCAAAATTCAAAATTTCCTACCTACTGAAAATATTAGGTGTGTCCCGCGCGCTCATAAGACCTTATGTAGTTGCGAGCGCCGTAAAACACTTTACAAAAAAAAAAAAAAATAAAATAAAAGCAAACCTAAGAACACTCACAAACATTCTCAGCTTCCCCGGAAGCATACAATGCACGTAGCTGATTAACCGTTCAACAAATACTGACAAACTCAAAAGATCTTTTACAGCTGTACCCATTCTCACTTGGGTGAAGTGAGCAAGTGCCTTTCTCAAGGATACAAATACAAAGTCAGACCTCTGATGAGATTTGAATCCAGTTTTTCAATAGTGAGCCCACCAATGTCTTTAGACTGTCCCTGTCGTTTTTTGCGAACAAAGTTCTGAAATTATGCAAACTGATCCCAAAAATGTGAAATTATGCCATTCTGTTAATTTTATCAAAGAATGATGAAGGAAAATAATCAGAAATTAGGCAAAAAATGATCAAATTTTGCTAAATTATGCGGGGTGCATAAAACCACGGGGACAGTTTCTGAGCTAAGAGAAGTTACAAACTACGGCTGACATCTATTTTTGATAGGTTTTCCCCTTTAACTTTTGGGGAAAGTATATCGTCGGCAAGCTGTTCATATGTACTAAGTCCAGAAAGCAAAATTTTTCAAGGAATGAAAAAATCCAAAACTGTTTCATTCAACAAATGTAGGCCATTGTTTAAACATTATACATTTTTGAATTTCAATAAAATATTCCTGGAGCACAATCAAGTGATACCATGGAAAGAAACTGCAATCAAAAGAAAAATTTCAAAATTTCAGGTTTAGTACATTCTGAACAGCTGGCTGATGATGTAGTGTAGCTAGCTACATTCCAAATTCCAAAGTATGCTAAGCTCAGCCTGAATAAAGAGAAGTTCACTGATACAATAATGATCATTTTGTGCAGGGAAAACAGGTACATGTACAAACATCTGAAGGAAAAAAAAAAAAGAGTACAAGAACTTACCACTGACGTCCTCCAGTCACCCATGACACTTGGGTTTTGATTGAAGTACAGATTCAAAGTGACTTTTTCTTAATCCACTTAGGAACTTTTTTGTGAAGTTTGAACAGTATGGGACTAACTGATCTTCAGATCCAAGTCTAGAAATAATTCTCCATTCTTTCCCTTAACTTTTAAGGCTTACGGCTAGTACATGTACAGGGTAGTGAAGTTGTCTCAATGAAGGGTTCAGTTCAGTGTTACAATCTTGATGTTTAACTGTGGGTAGAAGGAAGCCACAACAGATTTATATATAAACCTAAATGCTTTTGTATTTCTGCTACTTTGCCTTCAACTTCAACTTCAGCTATACAAATAGGCCTAGAATCTACCGGTATTAAATTAAAACATTGGTACAGTGGAATCCTGTTATAACGAGGGAGGGGACCGGAGCAAAATGTCCGCTATAGCAGGATTCTCGCTATATAAGGGATCCAGTAATAAATTCAAGGGAAACTGTAAAGTAGGCCTAATCTTTGAGTATGATTTTGGTGTTC